TGTGACCATTATCCACTCAGTGCATTGTCACATTTGGCACCGCTTTTGTCACAGCCACCAAAATAGTAAATTTTGACAAGCTCATCAGTGTTAGCTATTGAAATTGTAGTCCTGGCCAGACTCTTGACCAGTCAGGTTTCAGACATTGTGAGTTGGAATTAAGGCGCGAGCGCGAATCTGTGAATCTCTGCTTAATTCACCAGACAGATGCACCATTCCACGCGCTGCTCAGATCCATTTATTGCTGTTCCAAAGTCGCTTGGCTTCTTTGCTTAGGTTTGGACATCATCTACATGATGAATGCCAACAATCACGTTTGTTATTGTATCGTCTCACGCCGCACAAGTTGTTAACTAGCATCGAGTAAGGATGGTTTAGTAAAGGAATTTTGCGACAATGGCTAATTCACATACAAAATTCGAGCGGCTGGCTTACATTCGAAACAGATGCTCCCAATCGAAGTACTGCTTTTTCACGCGTAATCGAGTGTACTTGTTCACTTAAGTTCCATTCGGAAACGTAGCGCTCTCTCTTTAAGGCCCTTGCTGTTACATGGGTCACCATGCCAGCTGAAAGGCCCATCACAATTACAATCCTAAGAAGTGCGCTGGCAGTTATTACAAAATCGTAAAAGTGATATTCGCGCTGCTGCAGCCTCCGTCTATAGCGCTGTTGCTGCGATGGCCCAACGTTGTGGTGCCAGCCGCCATATTTCATACAGAGCTTGAAATCAATGCGCGGGTAATTAATAACGTTTCCGAGAACATTTACTCGCGTAAACGGATTGGAAGGGAGCCTTTTAAATGCTGCCTCACAATTCATAAACCCTTTTGGGAATGAGAATCCCCTCAGGAACCTATGGAAAGATGAACGAACGTCAATTGGAAAAGCTGTCACTATAGCTACCACGCGTGGACTACCGCTACGCCGCGCATTCGCAACTTTGAGAGATTACGCGACGTTTTATCATAACACATTATCAGAAACGACTCAGGTGGAGATGTATTCACAGCATGTGCAGATGGTCTATTGAACGCACAAGTCAAAGTCAGCCGAAGATTAGCCACGGAATTGGCGCTTCGCCAAACGAAGGAGCCGACACAGGAGCCCCGGTCAGAGGCCGTGGTGTCTGTTCGCGTGACACCGCTGGTTAGACCTCCTGCTGGGTAGAGGCCCAGACCGTTCCGGGTGCGTGTGGCGGTGGGACGCGCGCCGGCGCGCTCACCTACTCATTAGCGGCACGGTCGCGGCGCCAGGAGCGCGGGTCGGGCCAGGCCGGACCGAGGGCGGGTCGGGCCGGGCCAGGCCGAGGATGGGTCGTGCGCGGGTCGGGCGGGGCCGGGCCGGGCCGGCCACCGCTCCCTCTCCCGGCGCTGACTGACGCTGTTCTCGGCCGGTCAGCGCTGTTCTCACTGAAATGTAATCAATTACTAGAGCTAGTGGCTGAGCTGGAGCTAGTCAGTCGACAAAATGGGAGGCAAAACCGCGATGATGCGCCTGGCCGTGGTTGTCATAACAAAACACAACTTTTTTTCGCTGTGCCAAATACGCGTGGTGCGATATCAACGATCGAAATCAATCAAGGACTGCTGCCTTGGCGTTGATTTGGTCTCCACAGGTGCCCTGTAATCGGCTGGCCTGTACTACCATTGTACATTGTGCAGCCCTTTGTGGTGGTCTTCGAGGTGTTCTTGGAAGGGAATGTTTCTCGTTTGAAAATATTGAAGCAGGGATCAGATGTGATAAAACAAGCTCACTTATAATTTTTGCTATACCTTTAAGTAGAGCAGACCTCTGTGGACAGCACAATTTCTCTGTATAGTAAATATCCCCTTCGATGCGTCTTTGTTTGATTTCGTCGTCGTAACTTGCACAACATTGATTGAGAGCCAACTGACGGCCGCTATATCTGGAAATAATGCTCACGAACGTCAGATATGAACGACTCGATCATTATATTTTTCCTGGCCGTGATCGCCGCATGACTGTGGAATGACAGAATTTTAATGGCGTTTTTATAACGTCATGAATGCCATGGCGACATTGAAATAATCTCCCCGAAATAGTCTCCCCATCTTCGCGGGCGCTAGCTCAGAAACTAGAGGGGCTTAGGTCGTAACAAGGCCAGGGCTGTGAACTGCACCGAATAATCTCCAAGATTGGCGTTTCAACTCAAAGCCCCATAGACATGCGAAACACTTCCTTTAAGCATTGCGTCGTGGAAGTTGTGTCTGACAAAAAAGATCGCAACTTTACGTGGCGTTGGTGTCAGGCCCCTGCAGTGGTTCGAACATGATAAACACTACCGCTGGGAATCACGCGTTGACACCAGACCGTGACGTCACGCGTTGACACCAGACCGTGACGTCACGCGGTGACACCAGACCGTGACGTCACGCGGTGACACCAGGCCGTGACCACCTGAGAGCGCCGGTCATTTCCAAGGAGTTCTGTTCCCCACGCATTACGTCATTTGCTTTGCTCTTACCGTCATCTCTCGCTCTCTGGGAGACCAATTTACCGTTCCGAACAGCGAAGCTGCTTCTTTTACAGCTGTTGACCGATGGAAATGAGCTGGGGGTCGCTGGCTGAGATGTGCTCCAAAGCGAGGCTGATGAGAGTCGCCGTGGATGTGCTGCGCTCGTTCGGTGTCGCCGCCCCGCCTCGTCACGACATAAATATGAGGACGGTGCCAGAGCAGCACCGTCCTCGTGAGCGACGCTGAATTCCTTTTCTCCGCTCGAGAATATTTCACTGCTTCTGTGCGCGGTCGGACACAAAGCCCAGATTTGGCTCGAGTTATGTCCAGGCCGTGCGCTTTTCTCGGGAAGTTACGCCCCATGGGAGGCGCCTTCACGCGCTATTCTGAGTATTTCTCAGACGCCCACGCGCCCGGGCGCCCCATAATATCGGGGTAAGGCCCGGCCGGGTCCTCCCGCCAACTAGCCGCCCTGGGGAAATTACTTCGCCGTTCGCTAGATGGAGGGACAAATTCGCTCTGCTGGGAAAGCATCTTTTTGCTCGTGTCCTTTGTAGGCCAAGCTCTCTTCTTTTCATGTTGTGGGTTTCTTCGAAAGTACTGCTGGTCTTGGTGGGTCAGCACACTGAAAACTCGCTCTTTGTGCGCGTTTTGTGCGCGCGTCACGCGCGTCATGCGCGTCACTATCCTTGTTTCTGCCAAACGTCAAATGGATTCCTTCTATGGTATTGACAGACTGCTGAAGCATTCTCATCTCACGCCGTCAACTTGACCACCTTCGTGCGATATGCATTCTGGCTACTCACTGCATTCACATTTGGCTGATCGAAGCTTTCAGCCTTCGGTTCATGTCCACCACTACCATTTCTGTCCGAAGACGACCACCATGTGGCGAGCACGACCTTTATGTAACGAACACGGCCACCGTGCGGAGACCACTTCGTCATGTGACGAACACGGCTGATCTGTGACGAGCGCAGTCGCCATGTGACGAGCACGTTTACCATGTGACGAGCACGGCCGCCATGTGGCGACCACGGTTGCCATGTGACGAGCACGGCTGATCTGTGACGAGCACAGTCGCCATGTGACCAGCACGACCGATTTGTAGCGAGCACGGCCGCCATGTGGCGACCACGCTCGCCATGTGAGAAGCACGGCTGATATGTAACGAGCACGGCCACCATGTGACGAGCACGGCCATCATGTGATGAACACGACTAATTTGTAACGAGCACGGCCGCCATGTGACGAGCACAGCCGCAATGTAACGAACACGAATAATATGCAACGGGCACGGTCACCATGTAGCGAGCACGACCGCCATGTGACGAGCACAGTCACCATGTGACGACCACGACCGCCAGGTGACGAGCACAGCCGCCATTTGACGAGCACGGCCGCCGTGCATGCCCTTGTGGCGATGGTGGCGGGCTCTGTGCTGCTGGCCGGACTGAGGTGCGCCGCTCTTTGACGGGGCATCGACCGCCGGCCCGCGCCGGCCGGGCCGCTGACGAGCCTCACCGCTCGACCGCCAGCTGGAAACAGACGTCAGGCCAGCCGACAGAACTGCCGACAGACGCAGCCAGGCGTGCATTTGCCATCGTTTTGCGCCGTAATGTGTTTACTCTGTTTTTCCGCGCACGAACTGCCGCGATAGGGCGCTCTCCTTCGTTATTACGGGTCGTTTTCCAGCGGGTCTTATCAGCAGGACGTGATGCTTCCTAATGAGGTCTGCCGTGCCACATTACTTCTTGAGGTCTTATTTTACGGCCGTTGTTTGCTGCCGGTGGCCGCGCTCGTCCGTTAGGGGTAGTCGTCGCCCTCGCACGTCCGCTAGGGCAGCCGTCACGCCTTCGCTCCCCGGCCGCCATGCGCTGCCGGCAGGGCAATGCTGACGCGTCGGCAGTGACGCGCCGGTCTTTGTTAGAGGAGCACGCAGGTACTGACGTGCGGCAGCATCCGCGAGCGGTGCGGTTCATGCGCAGTATCATCCGCGGCGGCGCAGTTGACGTGCGGTATCATCCGCGGCGGCACGGTTCACGTGCGGTATCATCCGCGAGCGGCGCGGTTCATGTGCAGCATCATCCGCGAGCGGCGCAGTTCACGTGCGGTATCATCCGGGAACGGCGCGGTTCATGTGCAGTATCATCAGCGAGCGGTGTGGTCCACGCACGGAATGTGGCGTGCTTACAGGACCCGATATCTTGCGTCAGATTTTATCGGCAAAGCATGCCAGTCGCACTCGATAGAGCGTACAACCTGCGAACGCCGCGTCAGGTGTTCACTGACCCGAAAGAAGCATTCTGAATGCAATCACGTGAACCCCGCCAACAGGATTACGTAGTTGTGAAACCCCACCAATAAAACTTCATAAGTGTACCGTTCCTTCGGCGTTTGTGTGTTGCCAGAGCCGTATGCGTCCGAATTCTGACCTGCCCGTGAGCACTTGATGGCCTTCGATGGCCTGTGACCTGGGGGAGAGCGACGACTTGCGGCTGACCTGTCTCTCTGTCCGCAGGAGGATGGTTACCAGCTGGAGCCGCGTCAGGAGGAGCACGGCGTGGGCTTCTGCCCCCACTCGCCCATCCACAACAGCACCAGCACATACGTGGGTACGTGTGGTGACCGATGTCCCAGCGCCTGCAACGAATGACCCGAGACGCGACGGGCGTGGGCGCCTGCCGGATCGCACTGCACGCTCACAGCAGGCACACATATAGGCCTTGGTGGCTTTGTGAACTTAAGCTTGTTTACTCAACACGTGTTAGCCCTAGTATGATCGATGGCCAGCGGCTGATAACATATGATAGCTTTAATTTACTTAAAAGTTGATAGCGGTTTATATGCGCTGTATTACTGACACTTCAATCATCCTAAGACTGTCTAAAGCGCCGGCTGATTCCTGCTCCAACAAGCGTAGGCTACGACCACCCTATGCGACGTACATACCAACAGCCATCAACAGGATCTCGAATTGTGTTTGTTCTTTCGTACCCCCGTCGTCCAAGTTTTCCTAGGTTCCTTTTGAGCGTGATTCGTGTTTAATAAAGCTGACATTAAAGGATAATAACAGCCTACCTGTAAATACGATGTCTGCTCATTTCACTGTAGCCCGCCAATTGCTTTCATGATCGTCATGCTACAGCATTGAATGTCCTCATTACTGTACGACATGGTCATTTTCGACCAAATTCGCTATCTTATAGCAGTGCTAGATGGATTCGAATTTAACATGAATGTGCTACCACTGATCCAGTATGATTGATGGTGCGAAAGGACATGAATATGCAATGCCCCGAGTGCCGTTTGAAGCGGCATCAGTAGCACCGAATACCGGCGGGAATATGATTTGAATCTGCGCTTGAACCCATATTCATACATTACATCGGATGAATTGAGAGTTCGACGATGACGGACGGTGACGTTTCAAATAAGCGGTCATCGGATGCTGCTTACGAGGTGGCTTGTTCTGTTCTGGGAGGACGTATGAGAGGGGAAACAGACGACAGACGCACAGACGACACAGACGAGAGCCGAAGAACAGCTGAAGAATCAGGCGAATTTCTCACCACTGCATCGCTTTGTCAACTATGCGAACACTTCAGCGCCACGACGCCATACCCCCCACCCCCTTTCACCTCCTGCCGCGATGTCGTGACAGCGGGCACATGTACACTCCCCGCCCCAGCACACGACCGCACCACTGTGTCGGGGAGGGGAGGCCGTTGTTCACGCCAATAGCTGGGGGCAGAGCGGCGACGGACGCCCCGGCGAGTTATGCCGGTAGCAGCCCGTGTTTGCAGTGCGTTTGCGAAATTTACGGGAACTTAACGCTAATTTGCCAGTTGACGTTGCCGTTTAAAAAGTCAATGAGTCACGCCAGCGTCGGGGTGAGGGGCTGGGAACGGGGAGGGAGCGGGGGGGGGGGGGGGGCGACTGCTGCACTGAACGAGCGGGGAAGTTGATGAGCTTATTGCCCGCTGACGCGGGTGCCCCTCACCCGCGATATTAACATTCCCCAGGCTGTGATTTTTCAGGCCTTATCACGAGCACAAAAGCGGCGGCCGAGCCAGCCACTTGACGCACGCCGAAGCCGGCAGACGCGACGAAAAACGCCGATATTAAAACTCGCCTAGCTGCGCGCCGCGGTCTGCGCGCGGGTCTGGGCCGGCCTCATTAGCGCGGTATCGCTGTTTCCAGCCACCGAGCGCGCGCGCCGCAGCCGCGCTCATCGGCGCTCCCTGGGCGCGCGCGCCTCTGAAATATGGCTGCTTATCGCCTGTTCAATATTCCGTCTTCTGAGCGGCCGACGGGCGGCGCTGGCGGGACGCCGCCCGGCAAATCCCCGGCGCAGCGGCCGCCGGCCCCGGCCCGTTTCGGAGACTTATTGCCGCGGGGCGTGGCCTCCGGGCCCGTATATCCGCGCTGTTGTCGACGTTGCGTGGCCGCCTCCACGGCTCCGGAGGGGGGCCGACACCGGCGGACTCCGGGAGAGGAGGGGTCGGGGTAGAGGCCGACCTCCCCAGACGTCAAAAAAAGGGCGTCATTTTTGTTGTTGTTCTACGCCCGGCTTTTGCGGTAGCCAACACGTTGCTTTTACGGAACTCCCACATCCCCCGCGCTGTGGCGCTGGATCCGCCCCTGTTCGGACTGGCTCGCCCCGGGCGCCCAGCAGTGTGCTACGTCGGAGGGGAAGCCAGGGGAGGGCGTGGCGCGTGACGTGCTGAATATCGCCGGGGGCGCCTCCGTTCCGGAAAGGCTGGTCGGCCGGCAGGAAGGGAGGCGCCTGCTCTGATGACGTGCAGCGGGCCATGTCGATCTCACTGCGGGCGACCCGGGGAGCCCGATACCTATATATCGCCCCTGACCGCTGGACGACTGTTAAAGTATTGTCGGGAGATAGAGATAAAATGGTGCCAAGGCTCAGCAGGGTACGCGTTGTCTTACGGCTTAATGTGTACGTCACCACCGTAGCTGCACCACATCGGGAAATAGTGTAAAGGATCGGAACACTGATGAAGTACTCGGGACAATATTTTGAAGCATCAACACAGCAAAGAGCTGTGTGTTAAAGATGGTTGCATAACTTAAAGGTTTTTTACAGTTTGGAGCGTGGAGGGTTTCTGCAATGACCTAAATGCAAAAAAGTACAAGTCGTCATTGAAAGGTTTCTGGGCTTCGCCACAGTCCGTGGGAGCCTCGGACGTGACGCGACGCCTTGACGAATACCGGCAAGGAGCACGGCTTACGAAAGATGGGCATCACAAACCAAAGGAAAGACTGAACGGCAAATCCGAGCCCTGCTTTGGTACTAGTACGCGCTGATTAGGTAATGCAGACGCATATCGTCACCAAGATCACTATTACCACCGATCACTGGATGCTAGAGAGTGACGGCCAACGGGTGGATCCAGATCTCGATAACGGTGACAGGCCGGGGCGCATCGCCTTCATCTCATCTTTCTCCACCCTCCCGCCGACGGAGCGGCAGGCGCCAAATCGTTAACGTCAACCGCCGCCGCTTTTAATTTTCCGGGCAGCGCGACATTTGCATAAGTCCTCGCCAAGTCATTCATACATATTTATACTTGCCGCTCGCACGCGGGCGGCGGGTGGCCCTTGCTTCGTCGCGGCGGCCTCTTTGTTTTGGGCGCGCCGCCGAGTAACTCTCACGCGGCGGGTCGGCCGTCGCCCGGGGGCAATCGTCGGGGCGCCGCCGGGGCCCGCCCGCGGCGCGGGCCGTCATCCGTCACCAGTCGGTGGCGGTGAGGGCGAGGGGGCCCGGCGCGGGTGCGGATGAGGGCGAGGGAGCCCGGCGCGGTGCGGACGCGTCGCCCCTCTCGCCGCACAGTTGATCCTGGCTCAGGCGGCGCGAGCTCTGACTCAGACGGACACGTGCTTCGCGATTTTGCGTGGCGACGCAATCTTCGGCAAGCGGGCGCGGGAGCGTGAGGATAGGGGGAGAAGCGCGAATGTCGCGCCCGACGACGGCAGGGCGTGCAGCAGTCGCGACAGCTGTCGCAGCAGTAACGGCAGGACCTGAGACGAAGACCTGAGAAGAGCCGCGATCTAGCGGTACCGAGTTTGATATCCGGCTTTTGCTGTGGTCACTGGCAGTTGATAGAGCCATATGATTGCCGCATTCCTTAAATTGCTTTGCGATGTGAGCAGGGTAAAATGAAATACCGAGGTTTTTTCACCGTGTCTGGTTCCCGCGAACAAGACACGGTGGCAAGGCCGCCGCCCACGCCGGCTTCCGCTTCCCCCAGCGACCGGCGGTGTCGGGGCTGTCCGGTGCAGGGGCTGGACGCTCGACTGACTGCTGTCGGCCGTGGCGAACGTGCCGATGTACGGCCACACCGTCCTCCTGACCTCCGACGATCGATCTCCGGCTGAATAACGACAGCGGGTGCCGGTGTCAGGCGGTACAGTATCTCGGGCCCCTGGGACGACGCTGCTGTCGCCGGCACAGTATCTGGCCCCTGGAACGGTGCGGCGTCATGCGGTGCAGTATGCGGAGACTGCAATAGTGACGGTGGATCGCGGGCGATATCGGAAGATGGAGGGGGACGTGACTTTCAGATTTTAGAGTTCTTTTGTTTGGCGGTTTTTGTCGTGCAACGCCACTATAAATGTTGCCAGAGTTGGGGAAGACTGGCCCAAAGCTCCTCGCTGCCACCATCTTGGCCATTTCAAAGTGAATAATATGCCGACACAGGATGTGTGGCTTCGGGTCCCGTAACAGAAGAATGCCAGACATTGCAGTAACCGCCGGTTCTAGCGTGCCCTAGTGCAATACAGTGCGCTGCAATGTTAAGACCCTTCCCGCAGTGGTGTGTCAGGGTGCGCGGTTGCCCAGGTGCATTGACGAATACTAGCGCAGCACGTTTTCCATGACCTCTAACCCTAGAAGGGCAGAGCATGATGACGAGCGAGGGCAGAGCACGGTAACGAGCGAGGGCGGAGCTTCATGGTGACGGGCGACGGTGGAGCATGATGACGAGCGAGGGCAGAGCACGGTAACGAGCGAGGGCGGAGCTTCATGGTGACGGGCGACGGCAGAGCATGATGACGAGCGAGGGCAGAGCACGGTAACGAGCGAGGGCGGAGCTTCATGGTGACGGGCGACGGTGGAGCATGATGACGAGCATGATGACAAGCGAGAGCGTAGCGTCATGGAATGAGAGCCGCCCGTCCATGGAATAGGGGCGGCCACATCCTCAAAAAAGCGTGTCCAGCTTTTTCTTTACAATAACGCTGAGCCAGTTTTTATAGCTCCATGCTCCCAATCAGAGCAATCAATCCGATATAAACGTTGGCCGACGCCTCCCCTCAAACAGACACGAATGGCCACCCAAGACGGTGGCATAGCGTGCCTGACTACGGTGATAGCGAAATGTCAGACGGCGCGGTAGGCCCGGACGCCTACCGGTCCACCGCTGCCGGGTGCACCAGACACAGCAGGCGTGGACGTCTACCGGTCCACCGCTGCCGGGTGCACCAGACACAGCAGGCCCGGAGTCTACCGGTCCACCGCTGCCTGGTGCACCAGACACAGCAGGCGTGGACGTCTACCGGTCCACCGCTGCCGGGCGCACCAGACACAGCAGGCCCGGAGTCTACCGGTCCACCGCTGCCGGGTGCACCAGACACAGCAGGCGTGGACGTCTACCGGTCTGCCGCTGCCGGTTGCACCAGACACAGCAGGCTCGGAGTCTACCGGTCCACCGCTGCCGGGTGCACTAGACACAGCAGGCGTGGATGTCTACCGGTCCACCGCTGCCGGGTGCACCAGACACAGCAGGCTCGGAGTCTACCGGTCCACCGCTGCCGGGTGCACCAGACACAGCAGGCTCGGAGTCTACCGGTCCACCGCTGCCGGGTGCACCAGACACAGCAGGCGTGGACGTCTACCGGTCCACCGCTGCCGGGCGCACCAGACACAGCAGGCCCGGAGTCTACCGGTCCACCGCTGCCGGGTGCACCAGACACAGCAGGCTCGGAGTCTACCGGTCCACCGCTGCCGGTTGCACCAGACACAGCAGGCGTGGATGTCTACCGGTCCACCGCTGCCTGGTGCACTAGACACAGCAGGCCCGGAGTCTGCCGGTCCACCGCTGCCGGGTGCACCAGACACAGCAGGCGTGGACGTCTACCGGTCCACCGCTGCCGGGTGCACCAGACACAGCAGGCGTGGACGTCTACCGGTCCACCGCTGCCGGGTGCACCAGACACAGCAGGCGTGGACGTCTACCGGTCCACCGCTGCCGGGTGCACCAGACACAGCAGGCGTGGACGTCTACCGGTCCACCGCTGCCGGGTGCACCAGACACAGCAGGCGTGGACGTCTACCGGTCTACCGCTGCCGGGTGCACCAGACACAGCAGGCGTGGACGTCTACCGGTCCACCGCTGCCGGGTGCACCAGACACAGCAGGCGTGGACGTCTACCGGTCTACCGCTGCCGGGTGCACCAGACACAGCAGGCGTGGACGTCTACCGGTCTGCCGCTGCCGGGTGCACCAGACACAGCAGGCGTGGACGTCTATCGCTGTCGAGCGCACCCGGCGCAGCAGACCTGCACCCGCCGTGGGGGCGGCGTGTCCAAAGTCTAGCCGCTCAGCTGAGCTGGTCACGGCCCTCCTCAGCTTTAATTCGCCCTGAATTTCTCCGCTTTTTAAACACCACTATTGAAGACTCTGGTGAGACTGGCACGAGTACAATGACTCAGGAGTCCGACCCATCCGTGCGCACCGCGCCAACAGCTGCGAAGCGTGCACGCTGTTTTTCGAGCTGGTCAGTCACTATTGACTAATGAGCACAGCTATACTGCATACTGGCGCCGCCCAAATAGGGTGCGTTTGCGGGCTCAGATATCCAGGAAAGCGGGAGCATACGCCCGCCTTGAGTTGCTCTGCCGAACAGCGCAAAATGATCGCTAAGCGCTGCGTGCATTTGCCCTTGGGAAGGCCGGCTGTGTCATGTCACGAAACGACACTTTTTACCATGTAAGTTCCATTCACCTTTGTCTGGATGTGGCGAGTTTCACACAGGGCGGTGCGATCCACGCTGAGTTTTTGTGCTAGCTCGGTTCCAAGGTCGTGGTGTGGGCAGGACAGTCCGCGAGGGTCGTGACGACGGTTATCTTTGGCCGTGGAGCAGTGCTAATATTGACAGCTGTCGGAGAAACCGACCCTCGGGGCATTAGCGTAATCCCATGAAGTGCTGTGATTGCGTTATCAGGCTGGCGACTCCTGTTGACAGCTGTGTCCAAGCAGACCGCTCCTGCTGTCGGGACATTGATTGGTGATGATGGTATCCACTGGCAATGCGTCGGAGGGAGTCTCGGGGGTCGTCAGGGGGTCAATGGGGGGGGGGGGGGGGTCGGCAGGGGGTCTCGGCGTTAGTCATTCTGTCGCAGGCTGAGGCGCCGTGGAGCTGCTTGTAGTTTTGCTCTATGCTTGGGTACTTAAGTCTACCTACAGCTTTGTCGGATTCGTTCGAAGATATTTTGTTGAAGCGTCTTCAGGCGTTGCAATTGGAAAGCTTGTTTTGTTGGGCCCAATTTCTTTAATAGCTCTAGCAGCAAGGAAGAGCTAGATCCGTGACTTCCGTCGGTGTACGGACTTTCCAAGGCGTAAACAATGTCGCTATTGTTGCCAAGCACGCGATCGACGAATATGTTCACATGAAATTATGTTTGCTTGACACGACTCGCTTAGTAGAATTAGCCCTAATTGGTTCATCCTACCGCTCACCATATCTTCTTTTGAATGCATGTTTACTGCCGTGTGGCATGCGCGTTACACTCGGTGATTTATGTACCGTGCGACCATTGACGAAGCTGCTGGCAAACCTTCCCAGAAGTTCCGGTATTTTGATTCTACATCAGTCTTTTTCCGCGACCATCGTGCTAAACATTTGTCCTAATTCCAAACTGACCCGTGGACCTGTCGCCCCGCCCTAGCGTAAACGGCTGTCTCTCGCACTGGTCGTCCCGCCCTAGTGTAGACCGCTGTCTCTCGCACTGGTCGTCCCGCCCTAGCGTGGACAGCTGTCTCTCGCATTGTTCGTCCCGCCCTAGTGTAGACCGCTGTCTCTCGCACTGGTCGTCCCGCCCTAGCGTAGGCCGCTGTCTCTCGCATTGGTCGTCCCGCCCTAGCGTGGACAGCTGTCTCTCGCACTGGTCGTCCCGCCCTAGTGTAGACCGCTGTCTCTCGCACTGGTCATCCCGCTCTAGCGTAGACAGCTGTCTCTCGCGCTGGTCGTCCCGCCCTAGCGTAGACTGCTGTCTCTCGCACTGGTCGTCCCGCCCTAGCGTGGACAGTTGTCTCCCGCACTGGTCGTCCCGCCCTAGCGTAGACCGCTGTCTCTTGCACTGGTCGTCCCGTCCTAGCGTAGACCGCTGTCTCTCGCACTGGTCGTCGCGCTTTAGCGTACACCGCAGTCTCTCGCACTGGTCGTCCCGCCCTAGCGTAGACAGCTGTCTCTCGCACTGGTCGTCCGGCTGTAGTTTAAACCGCTGTCTCTCGCACTGGTCGTTCCGCTCTAATGTAGACCGCTGTCTGTGGTAAAGACCGCTATCTCTCGCACTGGTCGTCCCGCCCTAGCGCAGACAGCTGTCTCTCGCGCTAGTCGCCCCCTTGTAATAAAGACCGCTGTCTCTCGCGCTGGCCGCTCTCATGCTGTGCAATCCCCGCTTGCTTTCTGTTTCGGCCCAGCTTGACGCTTTTCAAGTGATTTCGGTGCTTGCTAAAATTCTCCCCAGCCATGACATGTTTGCGCAGATTACACTTTCACCGCCTCATGTTACGTTTCGTGCAATTTCAGTCCCCCCCCCCTCCCCTCTAACCAAACCACCCTCATATCTTAAGTTACGAACTTCGGATCATAGTTACGCAGGATTTAAAGTGATCCATCATCATTGATGTTACGCGATCCAACATGTCAATTTGTTATTTTTGGTTATTTATTTAACTTAGCGGCAATGTGTTTAATCGCAGGGTTGCAGATTCATGTAAATGCATATCAGATACATGATCAAAGATCCAATATGCAACTTTACCTCTGAACGCAAAGACCCGTTGGGGATTTGCGATCAAATAGCTCGATTATTCCAGAGCATCAATGGTTTTGGGTCCCACAGCATCCGAAAAAATGAGTAACTTAAACCGAGTGGCGCACAGAGAGCGTTGCCAGTATGGTGATTGCGGTACAGGTCTGCTGTTTTGAACCGCAGCCTGTTCTCAGCGTGGATGTACCGAAACCTATCGTTGCTCACGTCGCGTCTTCGACCCCAGCGCGGCCGCACCGCGCCGCGTGCCCGTTCCCATCTCTTCGATCGCTCCGCTTCCGCTGCTCCAGCGCGACCGCACCGCGCCGCGTGCCCGTTCCCATCTCGCCGCTCCGTTCGTCACGCTGGCGCCTGCTGTTACAGACGGTCAGCTGTACGTGGGCACGGCAGCCGACTTCTCGGGCCAGGACCCTCTCATCCTGCGGGACCGGCTGCGGACCGACAAGTGGGACACGGTCTCCCTGGACGGTACGTGCCGACCGGTGCCGGCGCCGGCGCAGCGCACCGGACTTTGAACCCGACAGCGGGGTTTCGAATCCAGCGTGCGGTGTAAATGTTGTAATGATGTTGTCTCAGCAAGCTGCCTGGGAGCGTGTGACGATAATAGCCAAGATCAGTGACTGCAGGTGCAAGAGCTGGTGGGGTCAAGGTGAATGTGCCCCTTTATTCTTTCACAAAAAGGGGTGTAACTCGCCCCAAAAGTTTCACATGCAGCGGAAGGTGATAAGCTGACATTATCAGCGATCAACCACAAATGGGACTCGACCACTCCTTTTTTTATGTTCCTTCACCTCTCAACGGGACAAGCATCTGTGAATGATTGAAGGGGCACGTTAAGATCCGTGGAGTTAGCGATCGCGGAGCGGGCAGTCTGAGAGCTGTGCTGCCGACTGCCGTCCGGTCACAGACCAACTCACATGGCACTCACTCCTGGGGTGCAGGGCGCAGCACCGGTCCCCTCCCGCTCACAGACCGACTCGCATGGCACTCCTGGGGTGCAGGGCGCAGCACCGGTCCCCTCCCGCTCACAGACCGACTCACATGGCGCCGCTGGGCTACAGGGCGCAGCACCGGTCCCCTCCCGCTCACGGACCAACTCACATGACACTCATGGGGTGCAGGGCTCAGCACCAGTCCCCACCACGTCAGTTACATATATCGGCGCATTCAGAATACGCGTACCTTTTATGGCTCGTTAAATGGAGTTACGTGCGTGTCCTGGGTCAAACTTGCCTCAATGGCTCTCAGCGAGGTGCGTAAGTTGTGCCCAGTTGACGAACTGTTCGTCTTGGTGATTCGAAGTAACGCAGTCGTGATAACGTGTGACGCTTCGTGTCGCCACCACTGACCATGAGCAAGCAGCCATTTTTGCGTGTGGGCGGGTCTAGCCGCTACAGGGCCTCAAAGCTGCTGTGTGAATTAAACATACGGATATTCCAGCGCGCCATCTGGTGGATCGGGCCTTTAAACATAACGCTTACGTAACGGTCAGCACATTTCACTGACGAGGATGTAGTCAACTTCAACTTTATTGCGTCTGGCTATTGCAAATAGAATTATGTTTCTGGCTGGCAGCGTCAAGACAGCTTGTATGTCTGTTCTTGGCACCACGTTGACCACTTGCAAAGAATTTGTGAGGGCTTCAGAAGTGCCTTACATCCGCCATGGCATCTGAGAGTCCCCAGCTGTCTCGCCTGTCAGAAAACTTTGCTTAGTCGTGTACAAAGTCGACGTCTCGTCGTATGCGATTGCCGTATGGCTGCGTGATCGTTTGTGACAACATAATGCTTTCCTGTTTGAACTCCGAAGTCCTCCGTGAGCGTCGCTTTGCATGGTGTGAACGCGGCCGGGTGTCTAACTGCTTCGGACTGTGTACTATCTACTTGTCTAGTTGTCTTTTAGCGTGTGTTTGACTGCTTTGGACGTAGGCGCGGCGTCTGTTGGCCCGCGTGATCGTTGTTTTGGCGCGTTTGTGACGTTCGTGCCGCAGGCGCCATGTTTGCTCGCTCATAACACGGACCGCCGGTCTAGGCGTTCATGACGTCATCGCCCCCCCCCCTCCCCACGTGTGAGCGCGCCGCCCCGGCCACGCTTTGGGCGCTGTTTGACGCAACGTCCAGTCGTGCGCGGCCCGCCTCGCCACCTGCCAAACGGCCCCGACATTGATCAGGGACGAGGTGCAGGCTGAGCCAGGGCCGGGTCGCCGGCGGACACCCAGTGATAACTGGACTGGAAAGGAGGGGGGCCAGGGCCGGGCCGACGGCGGACACCCAGTGATACTGGACTGGAAAGGAGGGGGGCCAGGGCCGGGCCGACGGCGGACGCCCAGTGATACTGGACGGGGAGGGAGGGGGGGGGGGGGGGGGGGCAGGGCCGCCAGGGCCAGGGCCGGGCCGACGGCGGACACCCAGTGATACTAGACTGGGAAGGAGGGGGGGGGGGGGGGGGGGGCAGGGCTAGGGGCAGGGCCGGGCCGACGGCGGACACCCAGTGATACTGGACTGGGAAGGAGGGGGCCTGGGCGGGGTCGCTGGCGGACACCCAGTGATACTGGACTGGGAAGGAGGGGGCCTGGGCGGGGTCGCCGGCGGACGCCCAGTGATAATTGCACTGGAAAGCAGGGGTGGCCTGGGTCAGACCGCGGCCGGGCCGATCACCCCGGGGCGTTGGGAGCTCGAGATGCTGCGTTGGCTGGTGACTGACAGAGGGCTGTCTGCGACCGCCCGTGAAACGGAGCCGTCCATTGGACTGAGGTTTTGGGTGACATGGGCCTTGGGTTTGGGTAAGGCTTGGGTGTATGACTGCTCAGCTGGTGCTGGAGCAGGCGGTCAGCTGAACACCTTGGGGAAGGGAGCACCGGCGGGGAGGAGACAGCTGACTGTCCGCCGCACCGGACCGCCTGTCACCCGGTCAGAACCCCGCCGAGGCGGGCCGAGGGGGATCACGCCGGCACACCTCAGCAGACCTCGGGCGCCCCGAGCCAGCCCAGCGGTGGCAGCCGTCCCGTTGGGGCTGCCCACGTCCCAGCGCCGATGATCCAGCGCGTGGCGAACCAGAGGACCTGGTCGTCCTGCCGAATGGAGGGCAGTCCTGCGGGTCACATCTCGCCGTGCTCGGCGGCTCTCCCGGGTTCGTCCGCACCCCGCCGTCCCGCCGTGAGGGGGGGGGGGGGGAGCTGTCATGCGGGCCGCATCTCGCCGTGCTCGGCGGCTCTCCCGGGTTCTTCTGCACCCCGCCGTCCCACCGAGAGGAGGGCAGTCCTGCGGGCCACATCTCGCCGTGCTCGGCGGCTCGCTCGGGTTCGTCCGCACCCCGCCGTCCCGCCGTGAGGGGGGGGGGGGGAGCTGTCATGCGGGCCACATCTCGCCGTGCTCGGCGGCTCGCTCGGGTTCGTCCGCAGCACGACGGGCCGCGTCGTGCCCACTACAGAGCCAACAAAGTGGCGCAGCGAGGTCATCACGTGCGTCTCTCGGGAACCGGTGGCCCTTTTGTGTGTGCAGTTGCACTTAATGTGATCAAATAGCCCGAGGCGTCGGATGTATTATGCAGGCAAATTATCCGTGAGCCGGCCGGTTCGAGTCATTTGGTCCATTGCCAGTGTCGGCCAGCCGGGGGCTTCGGGTAATGCGGTGATCATATACGTTTTGAACCGGTGAAACAGCAGTGAAATGAGTCGAGGAGCCCCGACAAAAGCCTGTCGTTTACGTTTATGATTATGCGCTAGATTGCGTTTGTCTACGAATCGCATTGCCTTGCTGAAAAGCCTGACGCCGCTACTTAACCTGTACCACAGGCAAGTTACGCCGGTACTAGTTTTGTTTGACGCTCTGTACTGCAAACAATGTTTGTTTCTAGAGCGTTTGTCTGCTGCTGCGCCTAAGTATGCCTGCTTGAGCGTGAAAGGAATAACCTCTTGTTGACGTTCTATGGCGCGTGCTGTTAGTTCGGTGATGGCAAGCTGAGACGACAATTTGCGCGCCGAGTTGGTCTCCGGGCCGCCAGGTATGCCATCCCCTCAGTCTGTGCGGTCCAGTTCCGTTTCGCTCCGAAGCCTTCCCCCTTCTAAAGACGAGCTTACTGAGGACGAAAGCGAGGAGCACGCACGTGCACAGTAGTAAATCGGACGTCCCCGCCTCTTTCAATGGTCTATCCACGTGTATGCTGAGGGAGTTCCTCGCTGAGGGAGTTCCTATGCTGAGTTCCTATGCTGAGGGAGTTCCTCGCTGACATGGCACGTGCGTCAGGACAAGTGCAGCTCCACTGCTCGGTTGTCCCTGCCTCTTGCCGGTGTCAGGCGGGGTACAGGGAGAGTGCGGGAGGCACGCGGCCTCCCTCCCCACATCATTTAGCGCCGCCATCGACCGGCACCGGGTAACAGCATCATTATAACGCGGAATAGGATTACGGGAATGGCCCGAGGCGGCGGTGGCGCGGCGGCGGCGGCTGCAGCTCGGTCGCTGATGCGGTGGCTCATCGGGGCTCAATACACTGCCGAGTCAGCCCCCCCCCCCTCCCCCTCCCTCGCCTCACCGTCGTCCGAGCGATCTTCATCATCGGCTCTGACTCATCCCATCATCAGCCGGAATCCAGCGTCTTCTCCGTCATCCGATGATTACGTCCGGCCTTCCACTTTGTCTTCTGTCCTTTCCCCTATTTTCAACACCCCGTCTTCTCAGATTGTATCCCACTGTCAGCTAGGTACGCAGGATTTTACAAAGGTCTTGTATGTGGAGTCATCGTCTTAATACATGCCGTATATTTGGTAATGGAGGCGGAGGAGACACGTGCCTCTGGGGGCTCCTATGTGCGTACGCCCTTGTCCGCCATCATTTGACACCAGATCTCCCTCTCTATCCTCATCACCCTCATCAGAGACTTGGACATCGTAATCAGCAGCTTTCACCAGGCCTCTCCGCCATCAGGGGCCATCTCTATCTGGTCTGTCTTGTAATCTTCAGCCGACATCCAACTATCAGCACTCTGTCCCTGCCCGGTCGCCCAGTCCGATGAGCCAGTGTCCGTCCGCCGCCACCTGGCCTCCCAGCGCCCAGGCTCTCCGCCAGCAGAGGGCGAGGCCCTCTATCAGCAGAGAACCTCGTCCGGCTCGGCCTTCCGCCGCTGTCACCCAGCAAGCGTTCACATCAGGTCAATATTGTTTCAATCTCTGTTTTTCGCCGGCGTCGGCGCGCGCCCTCAACAAATTCGTCGGCCGCTTTCATCCCGCTGTTTATACGGGCCGATGCAGCCAGTTTGTCCCGCGTCTGTGAGGGGTGGAGGGGTGGGGGGGGGGGGGGGGCGTCTTGATGCCGTGCTGGGCGCAGCGCCAGGCGGGGGACGGCCGAGTGTTGGAATGGGAGGGGGGGGGGGGGAGGGGGGAGGGGTGTTCGGGCGCCCGCCAACGCTCGCTGGCCCGACATCAAAGAAGGGATTGGCGAGGAAAGCCTGACCGACTTTCGTGAGGTGGGAATTACGTGATCGTCAGCCAAAAACGTGCTGTGGAAAAAAAAACGCGGCGGTGGTTGACTTCTCCACCCGCGCCTTCTGAGGCACTAAACAGTGTCGGACCGAATTGCAGATGGATTTTTTACACATAGATGATGGATCTTCCTTTCTATCTTTTTTAGAGAAAGGAACCGCCATGTAGTAAACTTCTGTCCTACCGGGGATTAGCCAACTACCACTTAAACAAACCCCGTCCTCTTGGAAAACAATGCGCTGTGAATATTCCTAATTTTCCGAAGTTTGATATCAAATTGAAAGACCAGCCGGCAACTTTTGCAATCAACATCCCGCCACATGGCTTAACTAGATATCTTTTAATCAGAGTGAGAAGCTCTGTTAACTATCGTCGGCCTTCGTCCGAGCCCGCCCGACGCGTCTAACGAGCGGCGTTTCAGAGGATCCCCTGGTTCACTCGACATTACACATTGACATTGTATTAAACCCAGCGCTGTCGGTCACAAAACGGGGAGAAGCACAACTTCCTGAAAGTACGGCCAGGAGACTGGCTCACAACAGAGTTGAGATGAACCCCTCAACCTGAAACTCTGTAAAATGAAGCACCACACCGGCATCCTCTCCGCCACCGCGTTTAAATTTCACACCCTTGGTCGAGCCCGACAACATGGCGGCCAGCGGTCCCGGGCAAGGCGGGTCCCGTCCGCTGGTGACCCGTTGGGCAGCCGCTCGCCGGCGACGGGCTACTGCCGTCGGAAGCGATAGCTCGTGCCCGCGGGCGGTGTTTCTGTCGCCGGGAATGCTGGCCGGCAGTTTTATGGCCCCAACTCGGCCCGTTAGAGGCGCTGGCACACATCACGCTCGGATCATGGCGAGCATTTCTGCGATTTAGACAGTTATCTATCCCACTTGGAAGTAATGTGACAAAGGGTCTGCTTCTTTTGCCGTCCCTTGAAACCCTGCCTCGCACACCCGTGCCCCCTCCCCCTCTCTCTCTCTAGCTGCGCTTCAACCTCTATGCTCAAGCAGTATGGCGAAAAAGCTAGAATACATCTTCAAGCTACCCAAATGCCACGTTTTGTCCCTGTCGTTTCTCAGGAAGCTGAAAGGTAATTACTAGGCTCTCTGGTCCGTGTCTGCGCAGCGTGTAATTCTTGGCCTCTGCGCCTCGATGTGTGCCTGCTCTTGCGAAGGGTGATCAGCAGCGACCAGATACCATAAAGCTACCAATAAACGGTGGACCATACCGCATCCAAAGAGTGGCTCTGTGTTTAAGGATTCTCCCTGTCCAGGATATGGCCATTTTGCTTTTTATTCCAGTCAGACACTTACTGTCTGGGTCTCAATCGAGGGCTAAACTTACTCTCGGGGCTGGTGCCGAGCATCGAGCTCACTGAGGAGCAACCAAGCGCCAGTCTCAATTCGAGCTGGTGTCAAGCTCCAAGCTCGCCATTCGAGCTGGTGCCAAGCTCCAAGCTCGCCGTTCGAGCTGGTGTCAAGCTCCAAGCTCGCCGTTCGAGCTGGTGCCGAGCCCTAAGCTCACGATTTGAGCTGTTGCCGGGCCCTAAGCTCACCATTTGAGCTGGTGCCGAGCCCCAAGTTCACCTATAGAGCTGGTTCCGAATACCAGCCTCGCCCCCGCCGACCGACCTTTCGAGCCCTCCCGCCAATCAATGGTGCGTCTTTTTCCAGGAAAGGTCGCACTGACCCATGGGTGATGAGTTCAGCCACCAGTTCCCAAACCTTGACCTATGGAACTCCTGTGATCGCGGAGCCTAGCCTGGAAGGGAGACCGCATTTGTGTGGCGCGTGACTGCTCCAATGACGGCTTATTTCGAGGAATTAGGATATTAAAGTCACGTCGTGGAAGTCGTTCATCGTTTTCAAATCCTGTGCTGTGATGGTCGTTTGATCTTTCCAGGGCCTACTGTCTTCCCAAAGCAACAGGAGTGCCGCGCATATGTGCTCTGGCAATCACTTAAATTGGCAAATAGCTATGATCTTGTATCCAAAGGGACATACAACTAAAAATTAGTATATCAGTCTCCTTGCTGCCTTGAAAACAAAGCATGCCAAAGCCAAACGGAAGATGATGTCGGTTGAGTTAAGCGAAATCCTTACAGAATGGTGTCATTGGACATCAGTTTAAGTAACAGTTGCCTTTATTCTGCCCAGCCTGCCCAATAGAGGCAAATTATTTGATGGAGATCTTTTTTTTCTATCCCAAAAAGTCCCTGTGCCACGAGGGGGCTCATCTGAGAGGCTAAAATATATCGCTCATCCCTAGCCACGCTGTATGACACATCGATCAGAACCGAGCAAAATGTGTGGCCTATGACATGCCATTTTTAAACGCATGGAGCACGCCTTTTGCACACGGCTATACCGCCACTACATTAAGAGTCAATGATAGGCATCGCAGCGAAACAAACTACGCGGGATTGCGTTGTAGAACTACATCAAAGGCGGCTTGATTGGCTTAATGCATGTGAAACCAGGTCAAGAAGGTCCCAAATGGTTTTCATGGAACTATTTGGATTTCGCGCATCGGGCTCAGCTTTACCATTCGGTGACCTGACATTATTGTATATGTGCACCGCGTTATCGCTTAAAAGGAATGTTCCACATTTTGAGATATTAAAGTAGGCATCATATGAGATAAGATAAACTCACTTATGTCTACTGGTATGCATTAAAGGCGAAAAGACTGCTCTAGACAGCATGATTTCTTTCTTTAATAAATATGTTTCGTTATACGTCATTGCCTGATTGCGTCACCATGCCTTGCAAAGCATTCCTTGAGAGCCAACTGACGGCCTTTATATCTAGAAATTGTGCTTACGAATGCCAGATGTGAACGGCCCGACAATTGCATTTATCTTGGCCTAGAGCACTGCATTGTTGATGAAATGGCAGGATTTAAGTGACGTTTTTATGACGTCATAGAGGACTGGATGCTATTGAAATAGTCTGCCCGAGATAGTCTGCACATCTTCGCAGGCGTGCAGTTGAAAAAATAACATAATAAGGTCTTAGAGCTGTGAACTGCACCGAATGATCTTCAAGATGACTATTTCGGTTCAAAACTTTTTACAAATGTGGACCTACCCCCCCCCCCCCTTTAAGATTGATGGGATGCAGGGGCTCAAAAAAGGAAGCTCTTTGGGTGCATATTATGTCAAATGAACTTTTTCGCATGCTTGAACTCATAATGAGAGGCACGATCTCGACAACTAGATAATGACTCGGTGCTTACCATGCCTGACAACCGTTCCGGCCCAGGCTGTTCAACTGCGGATCCGGACTGATCAATCGACGCCTAGACGCCGCATGCCTCGTCCCAGCACTACGCTGTCCGGATCCGGGCGCATTGTTCTCTGAATTCGTGCTGTGTTCTGTTCTGATCTGTTGTTTAATGTGATGGCATCTGTGATGTCATGTTTGTTGTTGGGTGTCGTGATGTTTGAACCAATATCTGGTGCCTTATCGGACTGATCTGATGCCATGTGTGCGACCTGATCGCACGGTGGCACAATTGCCATGTGTTTTGTACCTGCATGGCATTACCCGAATCTGAGTGTGTCGTGTTTCTACATTGCTGTAACTGGATCTGGCACGTTCTGTTCCAGATCCGGATTTCGTCAGCTCTTTCGCGATGGGCGATCACGTTTACTTCTTCTTGCGGGAGACGGCTGTTGAGTACATCAACTGTGGCAAGGTAGGATGACAGGCATAGAACAGGCATGATCACCTGCCGCGATGACAGGCATGATCACCTGCCGCGGCAACAGACATGGTCGCCTGCCGCGACGACAGACATGATCACCTGCCGCGACAACAGACATGATCACCTGCCGCGACAACAGACATGGTCGCCTGCCGCGACAACAGACATGGTCGCCTGCCGCGACAACAGACATGATCGCCTGCCGCGACAACGGAGATGATCACCTGCCGCGACGACAGACATGGTCACCTGCCGCGACGACAGACATGGTCGCCTGCCACGACGACGGACATGGTCGCCTGCTGCAACAACAGACATGGTCGCCTGCCGCGACAACGGACATGGTCGCCTGCCGCGACAACAGACATGGTCGCCTGCCGCGATACCACTTTAGATATTGCCTTGTGGTGTTTGAAAATGTTGTGTATCCCAACCTTTGGCAATGAAAGCCATGTTTCTTCAAACGTGTTGTCCAGTACATCTGAACCTCAATCTCAGGGCATCGAGCCTTCAGAGCATTTCATTTAGTGGTTCCAAGTGGAAGGCTATAAAATGATCATGTCAGTTTGCTTTTGCTGTGTTTTTGCTGTGGAAGTGGCCACCGACTGGGTTCAGTGGATACGTTTGAGCCCTCTAAAGTAAGTTCCCTTTGCCGCTAACTGTCAAGATGGCATATATTAACATTGAAACGTGGAACAAAACAGCCCCTAACTTGTTATAGAACGCAAAGTGAAATGGTTATGGTCTCCTTTCCGTTTTTATTTCCCACCTCTACTCTTGCGAGTTGTCCAGCCAGTCTGTTCCCTTAGTATTCCGTATTTTTCTTTCATCTTAAAATAATGGAGAATTTAGGCTCATCTTCGTCTCGGTTAACTGCAGTGAACTCTGCATTCATGGACGTAAGTTTGTGTCATCGAATGCAAAAATGATTGCTTTGAAAATGCAGAATGCTGGCCGGGAAGATCAGTATAAAAAATACCAAAATTTCGGTGCTCGTATTTCGTACTGTTCAGAAGCCAGAGCTTAAATTATTAAAGGAGTTGTTACACGATGCTGTCTTCCTTCTACACCATCATTGTGTAGAAACCCATGGTTGCACATCTAAGTTTTGAGGAGGGGGGGGGGGGGGGGGTGGAGAGGGAAGGAGGTTATTGGTATTTATGATTAAACGGTCGCCGAATCGGTGATGCGTTTTCTTCTTTTACTGACGTCATTGCGTCAGCCGTCAGGATTGGTCGTGACGTTAATGGTCTGAGTTGCATTCTCCGATGAATAATGCACCATTATCGTTGTTATACTAATGCCGCTAAAAGGTATTATTAACGGGCATATACAACATGCTCTGGCAAATCGATGCCATCATTCAACCTCATTAGAAATAGGCTCGTGAGGAACTCTATGTGGAGGGCGCTGCTGCCGTGGCGGCATTCTGTGTTTTATTTGACGCGATAAAATCGCAAATGACGTCATTTGTCGGGCTGCCATTGAAGGGCGGCCCGTGAGAGCGTGCTCAGAATGAACGCCTCATTTGGCAGGCGTCAGCTGGTTCTGGGGAACGGGCGCAGGCGGGGAAGTAATGCATGCGACACGTGTGCAAACACTTAGCGTAATGTCGCGCCATTCTGCAGTGCACTCGTTACGCGCTCTTGTTTGGCCGATGTGTTGTTCATGTGAGGTAGGGTATGCTGAACGCTGCGGTTGCTTTACGACGATGTCTGGAATCATGAAGACATACCGCCTCAGTGGTGGAGCTGATGCGTTACCATTGTTGGAACCCATTCCCTTAATTGTTTGCAAATGTGCCACCCTGAATTGGGTGAACACTTACCTAGCAAGCTGTGAAAAGTTTTAAATCGCATTTTCTGCGGTGTGATTGTGCGGGATGTGCGCCCTCGCCCTCGCTGTCTTCCGAGCTCTACATCTGACTGGGTGCCAGGGGGCGTCACGTGACCGCGGGTCTCCCGATTCGCCGGGGGTCAAGGGTCTGCCGCTGAGGCGGCGGCAGAGACACGACGCTCGCAGTTGCCAGTTGGTTTTTGGACGAGTCCAGGCGAATACACGCTACGTTCTCTTTTACATTTTCTTACACAAGCGCCACATTACTCCATGCTCCATGCTTACGCCAAGCTCCACCTTCGACATCCCAGTAACATTTGCTCAGTTAAATTCACTTCATTGGCCTTCCAGGATTTGCCGTGCCTAATTACTGAAAGCTGTATTACCTAACTTTAAGTAGCCCACCAAATAGCTGATGCAGAGTACCAAGATCTCCCGCCTATCTTTCCCTCGTTGTGACTTCGAGGTAATGCTTTGGTGCGGTGATACGAACTAATGCAGTGCTGCATAGTGACCTGCAGATATTTTGAAACTGTTGCCGATGCTTTAGAATGGTTTCCCGAAAGGCGGCCTTTACAACGAAGTGACCATATGCACGAGAAAATGTCCGCTGTGTCTGGGCCGCGCGCAGCCCAGCACGGCCGTTGGACACAGGCGGCGACCGTGCCGAGTCCAATAAGGACGCCGCCTGTGGACGGACGGGCCGGCGGCTGAGCCCCCTCCCACACAGCTCCACCCCCCTCTCCCACTGCGTGCCGTCCGTCAGCGGAAGCGTCCCGAGCGGTGTGCTAGGACCAGCTGGGTCACCCTTATTGGCTAGGTTTTGCAGGTTGGTTGGCGTTGAGCTGTGATTGTGTTAATCGGGGACCTGTGTACTGCTGTAGTGTGGTGGTCTTCGAGTGTGTGAACTGGAGGTGGAATGGCCGGTATGTGCATAAAATACCAGCCCGTGGAGTCAAGCCGCAAGGTACAAAACCCATTGGTGGTTGTTATACTGCCTCGACAAACACTGGCAGGTGGAATGGCAACGAGTCAATGGTGCGATTGCTGATTTTAGAATGCAAGCATTCCAATCACCGAGTGTGGCAAAAACACGTATTATTCACCTGCAGTTTTCGAGCAACTTGCCAGAACTCCTTTGAAGGCTGTTTTTGCGAAAACGCGCCATCCGTCAAAGCTCCCGCAAGATTGGCCCGGCTATTAATCATTAGAAATGACGAGTATGTGTTTCTGGGATGGATTTTGGGCGGAAGACTCGAAGGACACTGATACTTCCGTGTAGCACCGGCTGGGGTATGTAATGTCTCGTCAGATTTTACTATGTGCTCAGAGTGTCGTCATCCTGCGCTCCGAAATGAAAGAGGCGAAATAGAGTGAATGAGTTGCTGAAAAAGATCTTTTTAGTTGACAAGATGAACTGGTGAGAGCATTTGCCCCGGACGTAAAGATCACCCAAGCTCCGGGATGTCAGTCGAAAAGAGTTCAGAAGACTCGAGAGATGTCGCCTTGGGCGCGTATGCATATGCTTCTAAAAGTTTAGTGGAAAGCTTGGCTGGAACGGCGAAATAACCTGTAGTGCCAAAAGGCTTGCCTTTGCACATGTTTTTTATTTTTAAGAAAGAACAGCTTAAGCCCTCTAAACATTACGGGATTTTTTGTTGTTATTCTCGGTTATATGAATGTCCGTAGAGTTTTCCGATAAACACAGTCTTCCCCGTAATCTTTACATAACCGTTGCGCGGGGTCAAGGCCGCGGGGCGGAGCTAGTCTCAACCTTCCACCAATCACAGTGGCTGACCTGCCATCGCACTGCAGCCGACCTGCCATCGGCTCTCATTAAAATTGTAAATGGCGAATCGATGCCGTTATTGCCGCGAGACCGGCTGCCGGACCTCCGCCTCCGTCGGCAGCGGCTCTCGCGGTCCTCGTCTGTCGGCAGCGGCTCTCGTGGTCCGCCTCTGTCGGCAGCGGCTCTCGCGGTCCGCCTCTGCCGGCAGCGGCTCTCGCGGTCCGCGTCTGTCGTCAGCGGCTCTCGTGGTCCGTCTCTGTCGGCAGCGGCTCTCGTGGTCCGCCTCTGTCGGCAGCGGCTCTCGTGGTCCGCCTCTGTCGTCAGCGGCTCTCGTGGTCCGCCTCTGTCGGCATCGGCCCTCGCGGTCCGCGTCTGTCGGCAGCGGCTCTCGTGGTCCGCCTCTGTCGGCAGCGGCTCTCGTGGTCCGCCTCTGTCGTCAGCGGCTCTCGTGGTCCGCCTCTGTCGGCAGCGACTCTCGTGGTATGCCTCCGTCGACAGCGGCTCTCGTGGTCCGCCTCTGTCGGCAGCGGCTCTCGTCGTCCACGAGAGCCAAGGCCAGGCGAGCAGCGTCCACATGAAGACCTGATGGACCGACTTCCGTCCGGCGGCCGACGCCGTGCTGGGCACGGATTGGGACACGCCTCTTACCTTACTCAGGACAGTTAAAAGGCAGTTCAGGGCAGTATGTGCCTTTCAGAAGGCGCTGTAAAAGTGCACTGAAACGCTTAACGCGCCACGGATGAGCACAATTCCGCGTGTGTAGATGAAAAGTGTGGTATATCCTGATCCTTTTGACGTGTCTACCTGGCATTTACAGCTGGCAAGATGTTCTCACGCACCTATTGCTTTATACCATAGATTTAGTGAGAGGTGGGGTGGGGGCACGTCACCACCAGGAGTCAGTGTCTGTGCACGCGCCTCTTTCCCTCTGCCTCGCTGCTATTCCGGTGGTATCCCCCTCCGCGCCGTCTCCGGCCCTGCCCCAGCCTCGTCGCCGGGGACGACAGCGGGCGCCGTTGTGCCGTGCGCGCCCTCTCGCGGACGCTCGTTCAATTAGCGCCAGCCGCCGACGGTGTCCGGCTAATGAAATTGTCTCGCTGGCGGAATTACGGCATTAGTGGCGCGCTTATGTAGTGCTGCGACGTAGTCGGCGCACTTGGTCCCTGGGCGAGGCAGACCGCGTGCCACCGGCTGATGTCTCGGCGGCTTATTCAAGTACAGCTCGTCGTCTTATTCCTGGGGTATGCGCTTCCTTCATCTTCTCTCATTAAGCACGCAGGGGCGCGCGCGCCTTCAGAACTGCCGTTTCTAATTTCATTTATTTGTTTCTTCAAGACGTCGGCTTTGCTCAAGCCGTCCAACCAACGAACCGCGTTCACGGTCTATGCGGCTCACTTGGGCTCTCTCGCTCTGTCTTCTAGCCATTCACTCGTCCACTCATCCTTACTGCTGCCCGCTTACGCATGATCTCAGTAGTCCGTCACCTCCCCTTTCCCCGTCTACACTCGGCTGCCGCTCGTATCACTCTTAACCTGACGTGGAGCATTTTTGTGGGCCTGCAGTGCGCATCATACGCCACTGGTGCCACACATGGGTCGAACAAGTCGGTAAAATGATATAATTACGTACAGGTAATTGTTTACATTCTTGGCATAAACTGAAAGTCATGGCGCTGGCTGGTAGCTTGAAGCTGCGAAAACCTCACAGGCTTGGCTGATCCAGGTTGTGTTCGCTGTAGATGGTTGAGTTACGTATTGCGCGCTCCCGAAATAGCGACTTTTCGGAGGCGTCCCAAGCGACCGACACCTCCGCCCGCCCTAAGGTAGTGTGGATGAAGGCGGCCGCCACTGCTGACCCGACCCGACTGACTGTGACCATTCGTATTCCAGAGGGTGTACTCACCCGACTAACTGACCACCCATATTCCAGAGGGTGTACTCACCCGACTGACTGTGACCGCTCGTGTTCCAGAGGGTGTACTCACGTGTCGCTCGGGTGTGTAAGAGCGACCTGGGTGGCCCCAGCCGCTTCAAGCACACTTGGACGTCCTATGTGAAAACGAGGCTCAACTGCTCCGTCAGCGGGGACTTCCCCTTCTACTTCGACGAGATCCGTGAGTCACACGCGTCGAGCTGCTGCGCGCTCGCCAACAAGCTATGCAAGCTTCCCGCTGCTGTCGACCCGCAATTGATATGCGCGGGCGGCCGGCGAGATATCAGACTGGGCGAGAGCTCTCCTCCTTGAATATTCTGCGGCTGCCCCGCGAAGAGAATGCCGAGCTGCGGGCCCTGATGAGCTCTGTAGACCCAGCTCCGTCTCGGACCAACTTCGTAAGCCCCCGGCTCGGGCGCTTCGCTTGTTGAGCCCTGGCCGTCGCCTGCGCGTGATGCCATCTCCCTGGAATGCGCCGGCTCCGTCGCTTTAAGTGTGCCACTGCTTCTGCCGGCACGACCAAGCCTTCCACTGGACGAGCAGCTCGTCCTGTGGACGAATCCCTCCTCCGGTGAACAGATCGTGTGTCCACGGGACGGATCTTCATGCGCTGAGAAAATGTCAGTTTCGATGGCCAACGAACTCGTTCAGCACACGTACGCCGTTGCCTTCCGTGCGACTAACTCATCTCCCGCTGAATGACGAGACCGAAACCTTTGTAGCCTGGACGGGCTGCTCGGCCGCGCTCTACGCTCCCGCTCCACCGCAGCGCGCCGTCATCGGCGGGGTGTCAGTACGGTCCGGGCCAAACCTGCAGACGCCGCGGTGCTGTTCTTGCCGGCGCTGGCCCTGCGAAGAGCGTTGGTGTTGGCCTGCCGTAGTTCGGTGATGTGGCCGCTAGATGTAGCTGCGTGCGACTGTCACTCCAAACCTCTTAAACTAATAATAGGCGGCCGTCAGTTCTTTTAACTCGCATGACCACTTACCCAGCGCTGGCTCGGAACTCCTCCACCACGGGTACATAAACCGAATATGCAATCAGTCATCTATTTAACTCCCGAAGGTAACTTGGTATAAAATCACACACCAATGTTGTTCTCAGCATTCCATGTTCGCAGGGCCTCTGCGTGCGACGTTCGAGTCTAACTCCGAGCCAGCATGCCCCGCCCCTGACCACCGTCGGTCGAAGCACCACCCCCAGAAGTCAGCTCCCAGCCGGCGTCCAGGGATCGATAGCATGTCCTCCCCTGCTCCCTCCCCCTCCCAGTGTCCGCAGGGAGACATCAGCCCAATCTGTCGGACCGGCCAGGGCGCTCGCTGATGGGTGTCAGACATCTAAATCATGCCGGCTCATTATCGCAAAGAGGGTTTTAATAAGGAGCAGGGTGTTCACCAGTATATCACCGCCCACGCTGTCGGAAGAAGTTTTAGTGCGGGCACATTGTAAATCCTGCGAGGCAAAGAAGAGGTCTTACAGTAGAAAAAGTTAATTAGTGTTCGGAAATTGTTTGGTAATTCTTATTTCTGGCTGCTTTTGCGTGTGATGTCCGTTTCGCAAAGCCTTGCCAGTGTGAAACATTCGCACGGTTTATAATGTGGCGATGGAATAATTGTTTGGACTATTGAACTATGCCATTTGGACTTTACGACGCACTCAGCTGTTGGGGCCATATAGAGTAGCTTGCCACTCACCCTGACATGAAGGACGGGCACGGCAGGGAATCGAGCTACGCGGCTCTGGTTTCCAGACGCGCAAGTTAGCCATCACAGCTATAGGTACCCCTTGTTCGGGATCGTTCTCGTCTAGTGTGTTAATACGTGCACCTGCATATTTTTTATTGCCTTTATACTAGTTGCCTGAAATATAGATGTAAAGTTTCAGAGACTGCAAGCTGTGAATATTTATGGAAAATTCACACATCATGAGACGATCTACTATATACTATATATACTATATTCACACACTATATTTCTACTATATATCTATATTTCTAAGATCTACTATATTTCACACACTTTGCGAACTTGAACACGGTTGATTCGATCCACCAATAACGCCTTGTGTAATTTAACATTACAATGCAACAATATGAGGGAACCTGTATTGCTATCCGTACATCCCTGTGAAAGGACCAGCACACGGTACGCCTTCTCCACATCGGTATCAGACAGACACCTTCCAGAGCCCTGTCTCATTCGCCCACCCCCCGACGCCTATCGAACCTGCGCTCATCGAAATTCCGCCGGGCGACCGCGCTGTCTCCAAGTGGCGCCAGCGGCGTCGATCGGATCATCCTCTCGTCCAGGCCGCTTCCCCGCACGCCAGGGACGGCTGCCGGCAGCGCCCCGCACGCCAGGAACGGCCACCGTCAGCGCCCCGCACGCCAGGGATGCCCCGCACGTCAGGGACGGCCACCGTCAGCGCCCCGCACGTCGGGAAAACCCACCGACAGCACCCCACACGTCAGGGACGACCGCCTTCAGCGCCCCGCACGCCAGGAACGACCGCCTTCAGCGCCCCGCATGCCAGAAACGGCACCGCACGCCATGGACGGCCACCGTCAGCGCGCCGCACGCCAGGGACGACCACGATCAGCGCGCCGCACGCCAGGGACGGCCGCCACAGCGCCGGCGGTCGGCCGATTGTGCGGGGTCGGCCGGCCGGGGGCGCCCGCCGGTGGCACCGGCTGGCCGAGGGCGCCGGCCGGTGGCACCGCTCGCCCGCGCCCCGTATCGACCCTCGGCCGTCGCCGTGTTTTGCCCTGGTCGGATGTGTCTGTTTGCGGACGGACCTCGTCGGGATGTGTCGCCGCTCCGGCGGCGGTGGGCCCGTGCCAGCGGCCTGGCGGCGCTCGGTCAATGCCTGGCCGACGATCGAGTCCGAGATCATCGCGCTGCGGGCTGGTGACGGCGCTTGGCTGAGTGAATTCTGTTTGGCGCTGGTCCGCATTGGCTGCCAGTTCCAGACAGGAGATCGGTCATTCGAGGGCAGTGCTGGCCTGGGTCATTCATCGGTGCATGCACCAGTCTGGGGTGATGGCGTCGCTTCCACTGGCGAATATCGATGCCAGTGACAGCCTCTGGTGGGGAGAACTGAACTCCCGGTCACCTAGCTCGCGTACCAACGGACCGCCGTAGAACAGACATAAGTCGGACCGACATCGGACCAACAGCATGCTCACGCTGGAAACGCGCTCGTCGTTGAGGACGTGAAACAACTTCAAAAACACTTGAATCAGACTATATAAGGGAACCGAGCAGTCAGGCTGCAGTGCAAGCGCAGGGGAATCAAGCTGTTATCCATTTATTCTATCGTCTGTTTTTTTATCACCACGTATCACCACATTGTTCCTCGCGTAATTGCTTTTGGCGTGACCTAAACTCAGTAGGAAAGTTTGGGGCTCTTTAAGAAGTCTGTAAGGTTTGAGGTTTGGACACCATGCCACTTGTGATCGACTCGCGGAAGCCCTGGCATTATCTACGCTTCAAATCGAGGTACCCTCCGAATTCAGTTGTGTGAGTGCCTCTTCGAAAAGCTCGCGGTGTCCCTTTTCTTCTCCGAATAGCCCAGACCCGCCCAATAACCGATATCCGCCTTCCTCACAGCGAAATGCCGGCCGAGATTGAGCAGCGAGGTTCCACTGTCTGCGAAATCGCCTATCGCTGCCTTTGGCCGCGGCGACCCGTGGGCGTCCCTGTGCCTGTCGGTTGTGGTTGGGGGATGTGCCATCTTGCTGTGCAGTCGTGCGGTTCCCTTAGAGGGTCTGCAGTTTCCTTTCGGGTCGCATCGTTCTCCTGCTTCAGGGGCGTGTTGTTCGATGGACATGCCTGTCCGCTTCGTGACCGTGCGATTCCCTCTAGGAGCGTGCCATTCGTTTTTTGGGGGCGTGTCGCTCCCTCTTGTCGCCGGCGTGTTTGTTTGGTCGCCGATGGGTAGGTGGGGGAGGGGGGGGGGGGGGTGCACCTCAGGGTGGTGGGGTCGATGACCTGGCTGAGGAGTCATCGGCCGCCGGTGATATAGTCACAGCCGAGTCCAACGCCACTCATTCACGTCATGTTCTGTCTGCTCGTGCTGAATGGATGGCTCGGCACGAACAATGGGCGGCGTAGATGAAAGTGGACGTCGCTGATCCGGCCCATGCAGATGTGTTCTCCAGCAGTCAGGCCTCGCAGTGTTTTACTGGGTCCTCTTTTGTATAATCTCAGGAAGCTCATGTCAGTGTTTGTTCCTCAGTCCTGCATAAAAACCTCGGTAGCCTTGTTATACTTTCCCTTAACCTACGCCCTGGGTAAATCCGTCCAAATGGCTATCCACAGACATGTAACATTGATCCACATATGTCACAATGATATTGTTATCAGCTTTGACAATCCATTACGCGGGTTATCTTTGTTTTCCCTTGTCTATGCCCAGTTGGCCATCTAAAACACCGCTAAATGAAGCAGGCTATGCTCAACTGTCCTCAAATGAAAGTCTCAGAGTTCCTCAGCAAAGCCTTTATATAACCCGCGCGACTGCCTTTCTGAATACTTTAACGTCGGTAAAGTTCTCCCTCATCTGCAGATAAGGTACCACGGCATCTGATACCAACGCACCTGCGGGTACATGTGTCCGGACACTGTCTGATTCCCGCCTTCATCTAGAACCTACTTCTACCCATGGCCTCTCTCTCTCTCTCCCTCTTCTCTCTCTCTCTCTCTCTCTCTCTCTCTCTCTCTCTCTCTCTCTCTCTCTCTCTCTCTCTCTCCTCTCTCTCTCTCTCTCTCTCTCTCTCTCTCTCTCTCTCTCTTCTCTCCTCTCTCTCTATCTCTCTCTCTCTCTCTCTCTCTCTCTCTCTCTCTCTCTCTCTCTTCCTCCCTCTCTCTCTCCATTTCTCTCTCCCTCTCTCTCTTCTCTCTCTCTCTCTCTCTCTCTTTCTCTCTCCTCACGTTGGCACAGCCATGTCAAGAGGACATCTTAAACACTGTCCCTCAGCCAGAGCACCTCCGCGTGCCGTGCCCACATTTCCTCCTGCTTTCAGTCATTGCACTCAACACCAACATCATACCGCTGTCTCTGCCTCCGCCGCAGATGGCGACCTCGGACGTCGTGGAGAGCAGCTACGGCGGCGCGCCAAGAACCGCCTCATCTACGGCGTGTTCAGTACGCCGCCGACACGCCATCGGCGGCTCTGCTGTCTGCGCCTTCCGGCTGCAGAGCGTGCTGGACGCCTTCTCCGGCCCGTTCAAGGAACGAGCGTCGCTCAACTCCAACTGGCTGCCGGTGGCCGCCAGCAAGGTGAGAGGCGGCGGCGGGGCACGCCCGACGCGAGGCAGGAGTGGGCCGGGGCAGACGCGGCGGGCCGTCACCCCGTTCCAAGGCCGGGGGTTTGCCAAGGATGGTCGGAATGTGTGAGGAGAGCCCGCGTTTTGAGGAGCGACAGCGCTTGTTTGGCCGAGCGTGTGGGGCCCAGACGGACATTCGGCGAAGCTGCGGCTGCGCTAGTCAGCCATGTCACCCAAAATCATACGCATTCTGGCACGAGGACTGAATATCTTGTACTTGAAGTCATCAAAACCATCAATGAGTTTGGAATCTGGGAAGCGTTGGGGATTTTGCCTTCACATTTTGTTTGAAAAGCAGTTCTCGACGCTACCAATGCGGTTTTGGACACAATGCCATATTAAGGACCTGAACTTTTTCCAGTCTGCTGAACTGCTCACTGGTTACTTCACTGGCGTTAGATGACCCTAGTCGCACCATAAATAAGTATAAATCATTGCATGATTATGTCATAATGAATCTAAGATGTGGGCGCACCGTTATCTCAAGCTACTCTGGTTATGTAGGGCTCTTCTCCAGCTGTCTCAAGCTTCGTCCCGTTGCGATTCTACTGCACCTCCAGGATAAGCTCCTTTTGTTTAGCACTGCGCTCTGTTTCAAATTTTGTGTCCAAGTCCCCAACGCTTATCAGAAACGAGTCTGCAATATCTTCGGCCATTCTAAAAACCCCATACTGCAGGGCCATTTCTTTCACGGGGAGGTCATTAGGATCGTTGCGCGAATGGAGCCGAACCATCAAAGGGGCCGCCAATGCGTCTCCTTCTGCCGTGGAATTGCCGCAATTGTCGGTCTCCTCCGGCGACTGTGCCGTCTATTTCTGCGAGCGCGTCTCGCTCCGATCTGGCGTCTCCGCCGCCCCGCCGGCCGCCAGATCACGCGCGTATCGATTGCAGGGGACTGACGGTTTAATAGCTTATCCGGGGACACAAAGGTGACGACTCGCCGTACGGCGGGCGACTCGGCGGGGAGGGAGGTACGCCGTCACTGCCGGCGGAGAGGGAGGTACGCGTCACTGCCGGAGGAGAGGGAGGTACGCCGTCACTGCCGGCGGGGAGGGAGGTACGCGTCACTGCCGGAAGGGAGGGAGGTACGCCGTCACTGCCGGAGGGAAGGGAGGTACGCCGTCACTGCCGGCGGGGAGGGAGGTGCCCCGTCACTGCCGGAGGGGAGGGAGGTACCCCGTCATTGCCGGCGGGAGGGAGGTACGCCGTCACTGCCGGCGGAGAGGGAGGTACCCCGTCACTGCCGGAGGGGAGGAGGTACGCCGTCACTGCGGGCGTGGAGGGCAGGTACGCCGTCACTGCCGGCGAGGAGGGAGGTACGCGTCACTGCGGAGGAGAGGGAGGTACGCCGTCACTGCCGGCGGGGAGGGAGATACGCGTCACTGCCGGAGGGGAGGGAGGTACGCGTCACTGCCGGAGGGGAGGGGGGGTACGCGTCATTGCCGGCGGGAAGGGAGGTACGCGGTCACTGCCGGCGGGGAGGGAGGCACGCCGTCACTGCCGGAGGGGAGGGGGGGGGGGGGTACGGTCATTGCCGGCGGGAAAGGGAGGTACGCCGTCACTGCCGGCGGGAGGGAGTACGCGCCAGTCACTGCCGGCGGGGATGGAGGTACCCCGTCACCGCCGGCGGGGAGGAAGGTACGCAGTCACTGCAAGTGGGAGAGAGGTACGCCGCCACTACGGGCGGAAGGAGGCGGTACGCGACATCGGGGCGAGTAGGGAGGGTACGCCGTCGCTGCCGACGGGCGCGAGGGTGGAAAGTTCCACTCTGGAGAGGAGGAGGAGGAGAGGTTGCTCCAGGTCCGGAGGTAGGCTTAGGAATATGTGAGTGGCAAGGCGATGTGCCCCGGGCGAGGATGATAAATCACGAGAAAGCTGTCGAAATTGCGGAGCATGCGGTGGCGAGGAGAAATTCGGGTGATTATGAAGGAGAACGCGACAGTGAAAGGGAGGTAGAGTTCACAGAAGCAGCGGCGGTTACTCAAAGAGTTAAGCCAGAATGCCACCTTTTTGGAATGGTTTATTTGTTCATTAAGGGCGTAAGCGATCCACAGACGTAATACCGATTAGGAAAACAGCACAATAAAACCCACATGGAACGAGAATCGCGGTAGAGAAGGAGCAAGGAATGGAAAGTCAGGGAAAGACGTCTTCCCGGCGGGAAAGCGGTGTCAGTCCGCCTGGCGGTAAGCTCGGAAAGACTCTACGACGTCAATGCGGCTGGAAATTTTAATGATAGGGAAATGAAAAATGGCACAATCGGGGCGACAGCTCAGCCAGCAGCAGGGATTTTACGGCGGCGGAATGAGGCTCGGCGACCAGCTATTCAGCAGGCTGCTTGTGGCCGCGCGGTGGTGGAGAAGTTCGAGGTGTGTTGTCGATTGAAAACACCCTGACGGCGAAGCATTGTGTGCGCAGGCGGGCTGAGAGGTGCTGTGGACGGCCCAGCACCCCAAACCTCAAGTTCGCTCCCCTGTTACACGGCTCGGTGACTTCTAACAGCTCGGTCGTCGTTTGATGAGGCTGCCGGGCCCCGCCTGGGAAGTACGCGGCTTTTTACCGTGTTGGTCCGTAAATTAGGGATGTTTAGTCCGTTAACGAACCCCTTTCTCGCCGTAATGTGCTGTTAGCGCCATAACGAGATGCACTGGGAAGCACAAATCTTTTGAATATCAGCGGTCTGTGTATGGGAGGTGTCTTGAAATTTACGTGGCGGAAGGTAGTGTTGTTGATGTTAGCTTTAATTGTGGAAAACAAATGTCATAATATGCACCGCGTATAGCGTGCTCTGCCCCGACAATTCAACTCCAGTGAGTCTAGAAGTTGTGCTCAAACATCCATTGAAACTAAAGTAGAAAAAGCTTGTAGAAACGGTGGCAAACGCTGGGCGCTGGAATGCGGTCATCCGCAGCCCTGTGCACTCGTATCGTACGTCTCCCTGACCATCGCATCGTCCGTCTCCCTTATCATCGTCTCGCACGTCTCCCTTATCATCGTCTCGCACGCCTCCCTTATCATCGTCTCGCACGCCTCCCTTACCATCGTCTCGCACGCCTCCCTTACCATCGTCTCGCACGCCCTCCCTTACCATCGTCTCGCACGCCTCCCTAACCATCGTCTCGCACGCCCTCCCTAACCATCGTCTCGTACACCTCCCCAACCATCGTCTCGCACGCCTCCCTAACCATCGTCTCGTACACCTCCCCAACCATCGTCTCGCACGCCTCCCTGACCATCGTCTCGCACGTCTCCCTTACCATCGTCTCGCACGCCTCCCTTACCATCGTATCGTGCGTCTCCCTTACCATCGTATCGTGCGTCTCCCTTACCATCGTATCGTGCGTCTCCCTTACCATCGTCTCGCACGCATCCCTGACCATCGTCTCGCAAGTCTCCCTCACCATCGTCTCGCACGTCTCCCTTACCACGTCTCGCACGTCTCCCCTACCATTCTTTTCGCACGCCCTCCCCAACCATCGTCTCGCACGTCTTCCTGATCATCGTCTCGCACGCCTCCCTAACCATCGTCTCGCACGCTTCCCCAACCATGGTCTCCGCACGCCTCGCCAACCAATCGTCTCGCACGCCTCCCTGACCATTGTCTCGCACGCCCTCCCTAACCATCGTCTCGCACGTATCAGTAACCCATCGTCCCGCCATGATCCAGTCCGGTTGTCAGGCATCGCACCGGTTGATTAGTGCGCAATAGCTGATGTCTGTTATGGGTAGGCCAGTGTTTCCCAGCGAGGCTATGTGCTAATACCGTTGCCATATTTTACTCATTTATTGTTAAACAATATCGCGGACGACAGGTTTACGATGCCCAGTTGCAGCTCAAGTCAGGGAGTTGGTACTTGACAGCCGATAGTCGACGACGAAACCAAATAATGTACCCAGTTAGCTTATAATTAATAAAGTTTGTTAATTACACACCTGAAGATCTTTACGTGATTCGCACTATACTAATGCGATTTAAGTGGTGAGTTAAAAGCTCAATACTCTAAACTGACGGCTGTTTCATGAATGCCTCGGCATGGGATCTGCAAGCGAGTATGTGCGCGATATCCAGAACGGAAAGTTAGTGATGCGCTGGGTACGTACAAACAAATCCTGTATGATTGTATGAATCAAGGCAAACATCATGTTGAGTGAAAGCTGGGGCTGCATGACCCGCGCTGACCTGCTGCATATCTTCCACGAATGTAATTCATCTGTGACGATGACATTTGAGTTTGCTAATCTCGTAAAAATGCATCACTGCAACTGCAACAAAAATGCATCAATGCATCAACTGCTGCAGGGTATGTTAACAAACCAGGCAGCGCCCGCAGACTATGACTATGCTCTAGCCTCTCCCGAAGCTCAGTTTCTCGTCTTGGTTTGTGTTCGTCTGCAAACACGATAGTACTTGACGCCGGCCACTTCTCCCAGTGCCCCAGCTGCCTGCCACAGGACTGTAACGATCTCCATCGTCGCAGGTGCCTCAGCCAAGGCCTGGTCAGTGCGTCAACAACAGCAAGACGTTGCCGGACATGACGCTGAACTTCATCAAGACGCACCCGCTGATGGACGAGGCTGTGGGCGCCTTCTTCGGCGGTCCGATCCTGACCAGGACCAGTCTCAGGTGACCACCAGCAGCCCATCGCCGGCCAGTGCTGCCCTGCCCTGCCCTTGCCCTGCGCCGGCCAGTGCTGAGAAGGGCAGTGTCCACTCCGGGCGCCTGTCTGTTTTCCCCCAAAGGCAATAGCTTCCAGCTACATTCGACCAGGTCGGGGTGGTATTGTGCACGCCTAAGTGAGGAAATGGTGCTCGATGTGTTTCGATGCGGCGTGTCCGACGGATAGTGCACCAGTCCCGTAGCTTCTTTGGCGTCCAACGACCAACGAACACCTGGCTGGTGGAGAGTGAGCTCGTTTTTCTGACTGGCACTTTCCGGACTATATTGATGGGCCTCTGGGTTGAACAGACTGGGAGGCTTTTTGTGGAGAAAGTCGTTTGCATTCAAGATCCATTGTTTACATTTGCCGGGAATGAAGAGCCTTGTGGTAATCTCCCCCTCTCTGATCCAAATTCATGTTGGCTTGACAAAGACCGTCACGGGGGCTGTTCATAGAGACGGGCCCAAAAGACCTTCACGGGGGTTCATAGAGACGGGCCCAAAAGACCGTCACGGGGGCTGTTCATAGAGACGGGCCCAAAAGCATCTGGCTCTCAGACGCTTGAACCAATAGAGGTATTTGCCAGTGGGAGTACTCCGTTGGTCTAGATCAAGCACGCAATAGCTCCTTGTTTTGCGATTGGTCATGGGATCGTCTCCAGGACGCAGGGCTTCAGGAAAAGCGGCGACCTCGGCGTTGAATCATGAGCTTAAGCGCCCCTGTCGGGGAGAAACGGAGCACTGGTCGCTCGCGTCAGCCCGGCCGCCCCGGTCCATAGTCAAGCGAGCGCTGCGGCCACCGCGCTCTCGGACGACGCATTATATGCTGTGCGTCATAAGTGTTGAGCTCTTGCTAGGTTGGCTGGCTGTGGATGGCAGCATCGTTACCGGTGATGTGGAACTCGTGGTGGACAACCGATCAGGACAGCAACTACCGGTGCTGTCCCTCCGGTCTGTGTTTATGGCGGCCCAGCATTGCCTTCTGTCATCGGATGCAATCAGCCACTCATTTACAACTAGAAGTACTCTGATAAGCCAGCGCGATGCATTGGTGGACGTCATCAAATGCTCGTCAATGTGCTCGTTGTAATTATTGATGTTATTGTTCCATCAAAAGACCGCAATTAGCGTAGCTATATGCGAGAACTGCTATGGACCCAGCAAGGAAGCCGTAACGCTGCCGTCGTGAGCGGAACCCATTCAATCCTGCATCGCTCTGCCCCTCCCCCCCCTGCTGTATAACGGACCTAGACCATCTACGGCTCGCTGCTGTCCCTCCGTAATCACCCCACCAAACACGCCCAAGCGACGCGAACCCCGAACACGGCCACTGTCGTCAGTCGATAACCCGCCCGGCCACATCAGCCGCGCCGCCGTGCTGGCGCGGCTGGCGGCCGTATCGACTGGCGCTGCCGGACCCTCTGCGGCCGGCGGGCTTGTCGTTGCGGCGTGCGCCGGTGTCATCCGCACCGCCAGGGCAGCGCTCTAACCATGGCGGCGCGGGCTGTCACCCTCCTCAGCTGGTATCGCTCTAGCCATGGCGGCGCGGCTGTCACCCTCCTCAGCTGGTATCGCTCTAGCCATGGTGGCGCGGCTGCCACCCTCCTCAGCTGGTATCGGCTCTAGCCATGACGTGCGGCTGTCACCTCGTCAGCTGGTACTCTGCTCTAGCCATGACGGGCGGGCCGCCACCCTCCTCAGCTGGCACTGCTCTAGCCATGACGGCGCGGCCGTCACCCTCCTCAGCTGGTAAGCGCTCTATCATACGAACCGCGCTCTGCCACCCTCGTCAGCTGGCACTGCACTAGCCATGACGGCACCCCCGCTACCCTCCTCTCTGGTAGCGGCTCTGCCATGACGGCGTGGCCGCCACCCTTCTCAGCTCGCGCGGCCGTCGCCCCCCCCCCCCCCCCCCCCCCCCAGCTGGCAGCGCGACAAAGTCACTGGAACGGCATGACATTTGGGAAGATTGCAATGCTAGTAATAACCAACAATGCTTGTTAACCATTAACATGTCCACATCTCTTTTCGTACGACTTGCTCATTCTCGGTTGCAATCTTCGCTAATATCGAACCTGATCCTGCCAAATCTGTGCCCCAGTTCTCACTGATTCTGTTCCTCACGACTACGGTTCCAGTATTTGCTGGTTTAGGCGCTCCAACCCTTATGGAGCCTCTCCACAATCCCCATCGGTCTCTGCTGTAATCCTCTTTGACCCTGATAAAATGGCCACCAATCGCCGTTTCCTTGCCTTTCTTGGGGCCACTTTAAATCTCTGGTCTTCCTTGGGGCCGCTTCACATCTCTGGTCTTCCGTGTTGCAGCCTGAAAGTGTGATACTCCTTGGTGCCATCTCAAATTCTGATCATCATCTCAATTACCACTGATATCTTTCCCGAGTCATCGCAGATTTCCTCGTGCAAATCCGCCATAATCTCAGCCCCAGCCACCACTGGTCTCTGCTCTAACCATCCCTGACTCTGCCCTGATCATCACCGGTCCTAGCCCCAATCATCACTGATCACAGCCCCAGTCACCATCGATCGTCACCTTGCAATCGTCTCCAATCCCAGCCGGTGCCCCGGCTGGTGCGGTTCTCTGCCTGTTGGCGCGTTCCGGCCGCAATGCGCTCGGGTGCGGCTCCTCCGGCCGCTCCACCGATCCAGTCAGACGCCGATGACGGCCGCTCCGCTGGTCCATCCAGACGTCCAGTGACGGCCACTCCGCTGGTCCAGTCAGACGTCCAGTGTCGGCCGCTCCGCTGGTCCAGTCAGACGTCCAGTGTCGGCCGCTCCGCTGGTCCATCCAGACGTCCAGTGACGGCCACTCCGCTGGTCCATCCAGACGTCCAGTGACGGCCGCTCCGCTGGTCCAGTCAGACGTCCAGTGTCGGCCGCTCCGCTGGTCCAGTCAGACGTCCAGTGTCGGCCGCTCCGCTGGTCCAGTCAGACGCCGGTGACGGCCGCTCCGCTGGTCCAGTCAGACGCCGGTGACGGCCGCTCCGCTGGTCCAGTCGGACGTCCAGTGTCGGCCGCTCCGCTGGTCCAGTCAGACGCCGGTGACGGCCGTTCCGCTGATCCAGTCAGGCGCCAGTGATGGCCGCTCCGCTGGTCCAGTCAGACGTCCAGTGACGGCCGCTCCGCTGGTCCAGTCAGACGTCCAGTGACGGCCGCTCCGCTGGTCCAGTCAGACGTCCAGTGCCGACCGCTCCGCTGGTCCAGTCAGACGTCCAATGTCGGCCGCTCCGATGGTCCAGTCAGACGCCGGTGACGGCCGCTCCGCTGGTCCAGTCAGACGCCGGTGACGGCCGCTCCACTGGTCCAGTCAGACGTCCAGTGCCGGCCGCTCCGCTGGTCCAGTCAGACGTCCAGTGACGGCCGCTCCGCTGGTCCTGTCAAACGTCCAATGTCGGCCGCTCCGCTGGTCCAGTCAGACGTCCAGTGACGGCCGCTCCGCTGGTCCAGTCAGACGCCGGTGACGGCCGCTCCCGCCGCTCCGCCGACCCAGTTGGACGTCCATTGATCGCGCCGCTATGGAACGGACCGCCGACGGCGCCCAGACCCACCCGGCGCGGCCCGCCCCGTCCGCCACAAACGCGCCGCCAATTTATTACGCTGACCGACGGTCATCGGGAGAAGGGGGGAGGGGGGCACTCGCCTGCCAAAAACTGCTGTCTCGATCGGGTTTGGCTGCGTTCACGTGTGCTTGGTGTGTGCGGCGGTGCACGAAGCGGTGGACGTGTTGTATCAGTGCCCGTAACATTTTGTTTTTAGTAGCTCATAAGACGCGCAGCTGAGCGAAAGGTGAATTGGAAGATCGTGCTTTAAACACAGTTTGCAGATAATTATTTTGCTCACTACAACTAAAGAAAGCAATGTCACTGCAGCATACTCGTGTGTGCCGTTTGGCCACCGAGTCTCCGAACCATGCGGAATCAACTAAACAGAGGTGTGTCTTCAAGCGTGCCTTACTGTAGCCATGTGGGCACATCTCGGTCTATTTATCGTTATAGGCTGACGGGCACTTGTGCTGATTAGAATCGGCTTATTGCACACGCGTCCGTTGATTGGCCCGTGCGTCGGCCAATCCGTGCTCTCATCGCACCGGAGCCTGGCCGATTTGCCGTACCCCGCATAACCAGCGCGGCGCGTGGCTCGTTTTTACTCCCGGGCCGGGCCGCTCCGCTGATTGCGTATTGACCTCGGGCAGCGCCGGCGGCGGCGCTCGCAGGCTGACGCGCGCCAATCAGGGCTGAGAGGTCCACTCTCGCTGGGCGCTGGCCTTAGACCAATCAGGGGCTGAGAGGGTCCACTCTCGCTGGGCGCTGGCCGTAGACCATCAAGGCGGAGAGGGTCCGCTTTCGCTGGGCGCTGGCCGTGCACCAGTGAGGGGCTGAGAGGGTCCACTCTCGCTGGGCGCTGGGCGCGCACCAGTCAGGGACGGAGAGGGTCCACCCTCGCTGGGCGCTGGTCGCATTAGGCGACACGGGCCAGAGCTCAGTGGCCAGCTTCAAATTTCGCTTTTTGCAGCCGGTTTTGAGGGTGGCGCTATTAGTCAAACCTGATTATGGCATTATTAAGGCATTTTTTAAGGAGTAAACAAATTCCTCTGGGATTTCTGGCTTGAAGGAGGCGCCGCAGGATCTGCGTTGTGGTACCGTATTGAAAGAGACACCAGACCTCGCAGGGTATCGAGTGCAAGGGAAACACCGGGATATTTAGTGAGCTACGCAGCTGTTACGATGCTACAGGAGGGGGTATTCACGACCGTATACGGGGGGTAATGCGATTTGTGGCGAACTGCCGTGTTCCAGGAGAGGATAAGGGAGGTCTGCACTATGACATCCTGCTCATTGGTGGTGCTTGACTGTTGCCTTTGCCTCGGGGCCATTTCTTAAGCTGTTCACAAAGCAGATATACGTCACTTTGGCCATACACTTCTCTTCACCCAGACCAGCTCATTTTTTT